GTCATTTCATATTCATCACAGGAAAAATCCATCAAGATGAAGTCTCAATTCTGAACATCTGTGCCCCAAATGCAAAGGCACCCACATTTGTAAAAGAAACATTGGTAAGACACAAATCACACATAAAACCCCACACACTAGGCCCCAGTCACTGAGCCGCCGCCGAGGACTCAGCTGCCTCCCCCTCGAGCCCCCTCGCTTCCCCACGCTCCTTCCCCCCTGCCCGCCTTCTCCCGCAGCCGCCTTCCACAGGCCGTTTCCACCGAGGAAAAGGAATCGTATCGTATGTCCGCTATCCAGAACCTCCACTCTTTCGGTGAGCCCGGGGAAGGTCGTGGGCCCGGGTGGGGGTGGCGGGACCTCGGCGAAACCGCCGCGCGCGACGGACGCTTAACTAGGGGTGAAGGGCTCGTGGGCTCGAGATCTGCCCCTGGGGTCGGCCCCGAGGCCTCCCGGAAGGAACGGGTGGGAGGTCAGCCCTTGGGCGGGCCCGGCGTCTCGGGTGGCGCATTTACTAATGGCTCCGGCCTCGCTTTGGGCCACACCCGCCCCCTCCCGCCACCCCTGCGTCACGTCCTCTACGTCACCGAGTGGGGAGGAGAGGCCCCGCCTCGGGCTCCGGCTTCCGGTTGGTTGCATCAGCCGGGTGGGGCGCTGCTTGCCCGCTAGAGCTCTCGGGCACGTGATCAGCTGCGGACGGACGGGGGGAGGGAGGGCCTAGGGCGGAAAGCGCATACTTTCTGCCGATCTAGGACCGACCTAACCTGGGAGGGACAACAAAGGACGACTCCGGAGCCCAGATGGTTGCAGTGCCGGTGTGTGCACGGCCAAAAAGATCACTAGGAGCGGGCGAGCGACAGGGGCAGCAACACCTCTGACCATTTTTATTTTCTCCCCAGACCCCTTTGCTGATGCAAGTAAGGGTGATGACCTGCTTCCTGCTGGCACTGAGGATTATATCCATATAAGAATTCAACAGAGAAACGGCAGGAAGACCCTCACCACTGTCCAAGGGATCGCTGATGATTACGATAAAAAGAAACTAGTGAAGGCGTTTAAGAAGGTAGGTCTGCAGAAAGTGCGTTGTCTGCAAGGGGAGAGGGAGGGTGCAAAGCAAAAGGGATTAAATGCTGTTGCCTGGCTTCATGTTCTGCACCCTTTATGCTTACAGAAATTTGCCTGCAATGGTACTGTAATTGAGCATCCAGAATATGGAGAAGTAATTCAGCTACAGGGTGACCAGCGCAAGAACATATGCCAGTTCCTGATAGAGGTGAGAACGGGCCTGCCTCAGTACTGTCAGCCTTTTTATTTAAGGTGTGGGATTCCTAAGTTCTGTAGTCTTACCGTTGAGAGTTTAGATCTCCGGTCCTTCCAAACCCATTCAAGATCTTGCAGGGGTCAGAAGGGAAGCTGAGGTTTTAATGGTGTGCCCTCCTTACTGGGATTCCTCTAGTCTGGTGTAGTGGGGAAAATGGTGGTTGGTGTGTTCACAGACTTGACTCCTGTCCTTTTCTCTCTGCAGATTGGACTGGCTAAGGACGACCAGCTGAAGGTTCATGGGTTTTAAGTGCTTGTGACTCTCTGAAGCTTAAGTGAGGATTTCCTTGCAATGAGTAGCAGATACCTGCTGTCCCTTGTCACAAGTTTAAAAACCTCACAGCTTGTATAATGTAACCATTTGGGGTCCGCTTTTAACTTGGACTAGTGTAACTCCTTCATGCAATAAACTGAAAAGAGCCATGCTGTCTAGTCTTGAAGTCCCTCATTTAAACAGGTCAAGCAGTAAGCCCTGGCAGTGTCCAGCCTGAAACAAAGCAATAACAATGTTTCAGCCAAGCCCAGAGCCCCAAGTATATAAGCTATGTCTATCCAGAAGCCCCTCAGCTCTCCCTCTACAGAGTCCCCTGCCCTAGGAGAAAGTCACCGGGTAAACAAGAGAATGGGTAACACCACAGCAGCAGAAGGGAGTCTGGCAGAGTTCAGAAAGGGCCACCTTTCCGAAGAGGTCATGGACATACGGCTGGCCACCGGTTAATCTTATTAGCTGGATACACCCTAGCCAAGGGATGTCAAAACACCTGAAGGATGAGGCCAGCCTAGTATCAATTAAACTTATGACAAGGGAACAAATACCAAACGATAGATGGGTCATGTGGCTAGCTGTAAAGGTTTCAACTCATTAGTAGCAGCTGCCCAGTGCCATGTGAAGGAACAAACTGGTTTTTGGTTTTCTTTTCCCTTTCAGTTTTAATGTTATGTAATGTATTTAAACCCTTATTTAAATAAAACTTGTTTTAAGAAATACCTGATGTCTTGTTGAGTCACACTTGCAGAAAAGAATCACAAGATCGGTTCCACGGAAAGCGTTTATCCAAAGTGTGCCTTCCCATTTGTCATCCTCAATGGACAGTGTTCTGTAGCTAACAAGGCACCTTAGATAACTGGAGTGATGTAGTTGGGCTTTCTTAGCTGTGGGAGAAGCTTTGTAACATGTTAGAATGATTGTGCTCGAATAGTTTCTCATGGCCTTGGCTCTGGTTCAGGTTTTTTTGGTTTTTGTTTTGTTTTGTTTTTGGAGACAGGGTTTCTCTGTAGCTTTGGAGCCTATCCTGGCACTCACTCTGGAGACCAGGCTGGCCTCCAACGCCCAGCTGGTTCGGGTTCTTTATAGAGACAAGCCTCCCTGAGTAACCTCGGCTGGCCTGGAGTGATTATGTGGATCACCTTAACTTCCTCTGCTGGTAAAGGTGATGTATTCCTAATGAAACACCTTCACAATCTGAAGGTTACTGCCTGCAGAAGAGATAGATGGTTTTTCTGACAGGATCTTTTGCTAGCCAGTTTGTGTAGCGAAACAGGCAAAGAGTGGAATCTGGTTTGGAAGAATCTCAAGGCTGAGCCAGTGCTAAACAAGGTCCCACCAAAAGTATTTGACACTAGTGTGTGGTGGTACTATTTTAAAAAGCTAAGGAACTTGATCCTTAGAAACAAGACAACAATCCAGTGGGGTGACTGGTTTCCTACCTATTGTGGGTGATGTGAACCAGGGCCCTGGCTTGCTAAGTAAAGGATTACATCTCAAACTACAAAAGGACTTTTCCTGCTTTGGTAGTGAATCCTGGGGACCTGTATGGTGTGAAGAGAACTGGCTCTCAAAGGTTGCCCTCTGATTTCCATATACCTCTACATGAAGCGAACTGCAGGATACTATTTAAAAGTGGGGGTCCTGGGTGTTATTCTTTTGTTTAAAAAGAAGAAAAGAGAAATTGCTGAGACGGACATATTGACTATAAGTTTATTATAAGGCCTGGTAGAATGGGGAGACTAAGAAGAGGAACAGGATAATGGCTGACCGCCATGGCCGGTCACCATAGAGAGACAGAGCGGGGAACAGAGAGACGGGGGAGCACATACAGAGAGAGAGAGACAGACAGACAGACAGAGAGTAAGAGAGAGTAAAGGGGCAGAGAGAGCGTAAAGGTGCAGGGACCTATCTTTTAAAGGGGTCCTCTGCACCTGCATGCAGACTTCTTTCCCATGGAACCTTGGGCTGACCAGGGTATTGCCTGAGTGGATTCCACCAGGTAACAGGGGCAGGCCAGCATAATGCCTGAACCTTTCACTGGGTCAGTGTTTTGTGAGGATATTTCTGTCCTGTGGTCCATACATTCGCAAGAGTTAAGTCCTTGGTGTATGTGGTGTGCTGTGGTGGGAACTATGGAGTATGTGAGAGCATGACAGGGAACAAAGGGTTTGGTAAAGAGGTGGATTTCAGGACTCCGGTGTGTCTACACTCGAATCTCAGGAAGGAAGACTTCCTAAAAGAGGACTTGGCAGAACTGACTCCCACAAGTTGACTTCTGACCACGAGTGCCATGGCCTACATATTTTTTGAGAAACTAGCCCTGGCTGTTCTGGAACTCCTTATGTAGACCAGACTGGCCTCAAGCTCAGAGATGCACCTGCCTCTGCCTCCCTAATGCTGGGATTAAACAGCTTCTGGAAATGCTTACAAAAGATGTGTCAAGTGCCAGGTGTTGGTACCGCACACCGTTAATCTCAGGACTCGGGAGGCAGAGGCAGGCAGATCTCTGTGAGTTCGAGGCCAGCCTGGTCTCCAGATCGAGTGCCAGGATAGGCTCCAAGCTACGCAGAGAAACCCTGTCTCGAAAAACCAATATATATATATATATATATATATATATATATGTGTGTGTGTGTGTGTGTGTGTGTGAAGTTCTCAATTTGTTTATTCTGTCGAAAATGAAAAGTACTGTTCTAGCACAAGAAAAACAGATCCAAATATTTACTGCTAGTCCACTTCTTACTTCTTAAAATGAAAACCAGACCTGGTGGTACAGTCCTGTGATCTCCGCTTCTCAGACTGAGGCAAACCGATCACAAGTTCAAGGTCTGCCTGGTCTCTAACTTTGCAAAATTTAAAAGATTAAGCTGGGTGGTGGTGGCTGGCACAGGCCTTTAATACAGCACTAGGAGGCAGAGACAGGCAGTGAGTTCAAGGCCAGCCTAGTCTATGGAGTGAGTTCCAGGATAGGCTCCAAAGCTACAGAGAAATGCTGTCTCCAAAAACAACAACAAAAGATTAAAAGAACTGGGGATACAGGGTAGTGATAGGGCACTTGCCTAACATTCCTGAAACAAGTTTCAATACCCAGCAAGAACAGAAAAAACAACAAAAAAGGCCAACTAAAATTGCACAGGAATCCACAAAAATGACTAAAATCTAATTCAGGAACTGAATTAACCATCTTGCTTGTTCATCTATCTCAGTAGTGTCCCCTGGTGGCATTAGTATAAAATACAGGTTAGCCTTTGTCACTGAGATATTTTTTAAGATTTACTTTATGTCTATCAGCACACTTACCTGCATGTACACCTTTGTTCCAGAAGAGGGCATCAGATCCCATTACAGATGGCTGTGAGCCACCAAGTGATCATCAGGAATTGAACTCAGGACCTCTGAAAGAGCACCCAGTACTCTCAAGTGCTGAGCCATCTCTCCAGCCCACTGAGATTGTTTTTAATGGACTTCTGTGTTGTCCAGGCTAGCCTTGATTGAATTCCTGGGCTCCAGGAGTCCTGCTGAATTGGGACTACCTGTGCAGGTCACAAAGCCCTCTTAATCATTTTTAACTTCAAAAGATCCATATAGCCGGGTGTTGGTGTCATACGCCTTTAATCCCAGCACTCGGGAGGCAGAGGCAGGCAGATCTCTGTGAGTTTGAGGCCAGCCTGGTCTCCAGAGAGTGCCAGGATAGGCTCCAAAGCTACACAGAGAAACCCTGTCTCGGAAAAAAAAAAAAAAAAAAGAGAGAGATCCTTATAGCCTCAAAACATAGCTCATAATACAAGGTTTTAATACTCTTAATGGCTACTGTTTCTCAAATTCCTGTTCTTAGGGATCTTGTTACAAATTGGGTTCTACCTCCCTGCTACCTTTTTTTTCTTTTTAAGATTTTATTTATTTATTATGTATCCAACATTCTTCCATGTATACCTGCACACCAGAAGAGGGCACCATATCTCATTACAAATGGTTGTGAGCCACCATGTGGTTTCTGGGAATTGAACTCAGGACCTCTGGAAGAACAGCCAGTGCTCTTAACCCCTGAGCCATCTCTGCAGCCCTCCCTGCCACCCCTTACAGTCTGGCTCTGTGGGTATTAGCTAAACAATGCCCAGTCCCATAGGCTTTTGAGGGTGGAAGAATTGAAGCTTCATCAAGATTTGAACCCCAAACCCCACAAAATAGGAAAAAACAAATTTGATTTGAGACTGGATCTTAACTTATAGAGACCTTCCTGGCCTGGAACTTCCCACTATGCACTAGTCCTGAACTCAAAGTTATCTTTTGATATCTCCTGAGTTAACTTTTATTTTCTTCTTCTCCCTCGCCCCCAACCTGGAGACAGGGTTTCCACTGTATAGTCTTAGCTGTCCTAGAACTGGCTCTGTAGACCAAGCTGGCCTCCAACTCTGCCTCTGCCTCCCGGGTGCTGGGATTAAAGGTGTTGAGTGGAAGGGCTCAAAGGGAGAAGCTCTCTCTCTCTCTCTCTCTCTCTCTCTCTCTCTCTCTCTCTCTCTCTCTCTCTCTCAAGCAGTCAGCATGGTCAGGTCTGAGGCTCTCAAAGGAAGATTTTGAGGCAAGGTCCCATACAGGCTAGGCTGGTCTCATATTCACTATGTGAACGAAGATGACCTTGAATTCCCGATCCTCCAGCCTCCACCTCCCAAATGCTGGGACTGCAGGTGAATACCACCATACCCTGCAATTAAATACTTTGTTTTTGCTTTTTTATTGTTTCTTTAGCAAATATTTTTTTACACAAATCTTTCCAAAAGTTACAGATTTCATTGCTAGAACTGAAAATGTTTTATTTTACTGCTGCTTGCCGTAAGTACCTGTGGGTTCATCATATTTTGGATGATTTATAGTTCGAATTGAGATATATATTAGAGCTTCTGAGGTTAAGATATCTGGAACTAAAAAGCCGGTTGTGGCTGGATAATAGTGGTGCACATCTTTAATCCCAGCACTTGGGAGACAGAGGCAGGTGGATCTCTGTGAGTTCCAGACCAGCCTGGTCTACAGAGCAAGTTCCAGGACAGCCTCTAAAGCCACAGAGAAACCCTGTCTCAAAAAACCAAATAATAATATTATTATAATTATTATTATTATTATTATTATTATTTATTATTATTAGGGGCTGGAGAGATGACTCATCAGTTAAGAGCACTGGCTGCTCTTTCAAAAGACCTGGGTTCAGTTCCCACTAGCAACCATTTTTAATTAGCTCCAGAGGATCTGAAACCAACATCTGGCCTCAAGGGCACTTCATGCACATGGTCCACAAACATATAGACAGGCAAAACAACCATGTATGAAAAAGTGAATAAATAAATCATAGTATGTGTCCTGGGGGATATAGCTCAGTGGTAATGTGCTTACCCAGGATGCACAAGGCCAAACAGTTCTAGACCCTGGGCTTAATTCTCAATATCACTCCACCATCAAAAACAAATATGTGTTGGGCAAGAGGACCTCACAGTGTGGCCAAACCCCCACCACACTGTATTGACTTCCCTTCTCCAGGGATACTGTTACCAAGCCATCACCCAGCCATGGCAGGCCAGATCACTGCAGTTTACATTGTCTTTAATCATCATTCTGTATGGTTAATTTGTGCCCATCGTGGACAATCGGTTAAAAAAAGGAAGAGGTTGGAAAATAATTAAAGCACAGGGCATAAATGTGACAGCCACTGTGTGTAAAGTCATTGATT